GTGCCCAAAGACTGCGAAGACCTCGTCTAAATACGAATCGTACTCGGACAGAGACCCCCGGACTGGCAAATAAGCCGCGATGAGCAAGAAGCGCTGGCCCCCCATGACAACGTGTATGTACGCAACACGAGAAGAAGAACACTGAACGGGTTGAGGTTCAGAGAGATGGATGGCATGAGAAAAATGGACAAGAAATGCACAACCTCGCACTCCGTCGCTCTGCGGACAACAGATTAGCAAATGGCCACTCTCTCTCTGAAAACTCCGATGTACGGGTCCGCCTGGCAACCGAATTCCTGCAAAATCATTGCGTCCCACGCCACTTCCACATGCTTCACAAAAGAGTCTATATCCCTGATTGCGACCCCGGTACAATTCAAGGACAGGATGTTGATGTGTCTCAACTCCCTGATGCCCCCTCTCTTATGGAAGCCTGTCAGCCTGTCGGGAACTTTACCTCCGAAATATGCCCCGCTGCCGCGGCAGAGCCTTCACCTCGTCATACTTCTTCTGGAGATCGTCGTCCCCATACTTGGAGAGGTCCCCAAGCTTCTTGTCGAACTTGGGTTTGTCGTCGTCCCCGAGCGTGGCCACCACCTGCTTGTCGGCCACCACGAGCCGCGTCGCCCCCATCTTCTTTGCCTAGTATTCTAAGGCGGGGTCCAGCTGCTCCAGGGCATCCCTCAGACGAGCGACCGCCGCGTAAGCCTCTCGATCCTCCTTCTTCTGATGCCTCTTGCACCAGATCCGCTGCTGGATCTCCGGCCGGCCCCCGTGCGCCGGAACCGTAACCAGCACCGTGCCGTCCGTGCTGCCCGAGTCCTTGACCTTCTTCTTCCACTCCCCGAGCCAATCGAAAAGCTGACCGAGGCTTTTGAAAACGATCGTGGCGTTAGTACCGGATGTAGCTACCCATGTGGTCTGGACATCGCCATTCGCGATGTTATCCTTGAGAACCAGGTCCACCACCGCCCGCACCTCGTCCTCCTCAGAGAAATCAGGGAAGCCACCGATGATGAGCTTCCGCTCGTCGACTGGCCGCTCGCGCAGCCATTCCGGGGCAGGGCCGCTCCCAGGGCCCTTGCTGGTGCTGCCTGTGCTAGAATCGGCTCTTGTAGACGCCGCTGCTGCCGATGCAATCTGCTTGGCCTCCTGAGCTATCTTTAACGCCTCGTCGGCCTTCGACTCGACGCCGTCCACCTTGCCCTTGAGGTCCTGAATCTCCTTCCTGGTGTCGTTCCCTTGCTTTTTGATCGTGACCAACATGTCAAACAAATCCTTGTTCGACGGGTCCTGTACGTCCTCCATCTCCTCATCCCCCTCCAAACGACAAGTCTTGCTGGCTGGCTCAGCCGGCGTTACACCAGACATGTTTCCGAGAATATCCACACTCCGGCAGGCCGGAGGGAGACAGAGGTAGCAAACAACGTGTGTGCGTACTGGCGCCCCAACAGGAAGCGGACTGAAAGTGTGTCAGCTGCTGTCTGATGCTGATGCTGGTGCTTGAGCCACCTGAACCTTGAGCCAAAATGGCTACTTGAGCCAAAAGGGGTGTACCGAAACAGAGACAAGACATGCGGAGAGCAAAGGCGAGGAGGGGGAGGAGGGAGAAGGAGGAGGAGGAGGAGGAAGAGGAGGAGGAGGAGGAAGAGAGGAGGAGGAGGAGGAGGAGGAGGCTGAGGAGGAGGAGGAGGAGGAGGAGGAGGAGGAGGAAGGAAGGATGATGGTGATATTGGTGATGATGATGTTGGTGATGATGGTGATGAGAGGAGGGAGGAGGGGCAAGAAGAGAGGAGGAGGATCGCGGGGCACCGTCTCTTCAAAACGAAACCCAACACCACAGGATTCAAAGCACGTAACTCATTTTCCCCCCAAACAAACAACGTCGGGTGATCCAACCATGGGAACGCTCTGGATGATTTTAGGCTCGAGAGGCCCATCGAATGCAGCCCATGGGCAGATTAGCGCACGAAGGGACTATATAACCAAAGAGTAAACAACCAGGTGCTTCAGTTCTCACACACACACACACACACGTACGCACACGCGCAGGAGAAGGAGACAGAGGGGCGGGTGAGGACACGCGGATTCGCCTGGACAGTTTCTGAACAAATTGTCCCCTGATAGCAAAACATCCAGAACTAGTCCAGCGAGGTGGGGAATGACCAGTGCATACCGTGGACACATCAGCGATGTTGCAATACGCCCGCCCTCCAAGTGACCTCTTCATAGGTATCAGCTGGACATACTTGCGTTGTGGGAAGTACCCCATTGGAAGACAATCGTCTGAGAATCCCCAATCGTGCCAAAGGACCGTTGCTGGGACTTCAACTCCGCGGATCAACGCGACTGTTGCGTCCTGAAAACCCCCGATCGAGCCAGAACACCTCCCTGGGACTCGAGCGCCGCAAATCAACGTGACTTCTTCGTCCTGGCATTCTTACATCGTGCCAAAACAGCGTTCCTGGGACTTCAGCACCGCGAATCAACGTGACTACTGCGTCCCGACAATCCTGTATCGTGCCGGAGCACCGTTCCCAGGACCCCGCCTAAACGAATCCTGGGATGCGGTTCCGAATGTGGTCGGCGCCAAGACGCGAAGGAACCGGCCTCCAGCCTTGAAGTTGCCGAACAGGCTTTTGAAACGAATGTGCTCGGCGCTGGAGCGAAGACCACATTTTGTAAAGGAACCGCCCTCCATCCTTGAAGTTGTTGCAAGCTTTCTAACTTCAGCGGTTGAAAGAAAAGCACGGGCCAAAATCGGCACTGGCAGCACGACGGTGGGTCACACGCCTCGCTAGACTTAAGTCGGGCCTGTATCCCTACAAAAGGGATTTTCGACAAAAAACAATCATATAACAAAAAACGGGCGAAGGACCCAACCATATGCAGTTGTGAATACCGCAAATATGAATATCGTTTTCAGTGGCGCTACCTCTGGGACCACGAACCGTGTATGGGGCGTGCCGAAATGTGCGGCGGGGTCCACAACACGAGCGAAGACGACAGGTCTAATAACGAAAGATTGAGCGCGCGTGAGTCTCATCGCGAGCGAGTCTGATTGTGAACGAGTCTGCGCGCGAGCGAGTCGATGTGCCTGAGTGCGAGCATGACTACACTGTGAAGGTCTATGTGAGTTCATGGTTTGAATAAGACTGACTCTGAGTACTCGTGACCCTGATCATGGCCGCCGCAGGGTGCTTCCCTGAAAACCCCGATGGCGGCGCCCGCGCGCCGCGACGCCCATGTCGGCACGCCCCTCTCGTGGATCGCCCCCGCTTTTCTCCATTACGCCGCGCACTCCAGTGTCCAAGGAGCTCCCTACGGGGCCACGAAACGCTGTCCTGGGTAGGGGAGACGCATGCGAAACCCCCCACTGGAGCCTTCGGAGAAGCTCCCTATGGGGGTACGAAACGCTGCCCTGGGTGGGGGAACCGCATGCGGGCACCCCCGCTGGGGCCCTCGGTGGAACTCCCTATGGGGCTACGAGACGCTGCCGTGGGTGGGGGAACCGCACGCGGGCACCCCCACTGGGGCCTTCGGTGGAGCTCCCTATGGGGCCACGAAACGCTGCCGTGGGTGGGGGAACCGCATGCGGGCACCCCCACTGGGGCCTTCTGTGGAGCTCCCTATGGGGCTACGAAGCGCTGCCCTGGGTGGGGGAACCGCATGCGCCCCCCCCCACTGGGGCCTTCGGTGGAGCTCCCAATGGGGCCACGAAACGCTGCCGTGGGTGGGGGAACCGCATGCGGGCACCAGACTGGGGCTCACGGTGGAGCTCCCTATGGGGCCACGAAGCGCTGCCGTGGGTGGAGGAACCGCATGCGGGCACCCCCGCTGGGGCCTTCGGTGGAGCTCCCTATGGGGCCACGAAGCCTGGCCTTGGTGGGGGAACCGCATGCGGGCACCCCCACTGGGGCCTTCGGTGGAGCTCCCTATGGGGCTACGAAGCGTGTCCTGGGTGGGGGAACCGCATGCGGGCACCCCCACTGGGGCCTTCGGTGGAGCTCCCTATGGGGCCACGAAGCGCTTCCCTGGGTAGGGGAATCGCATGCGGGCGGAGGGAGGAGGAAGGAGGAGGGGGGGTGGGGAGGAGGGGGGAGGAGGAGGAGAGGAAGGAAGGAACGAAGGAAGGAAGGAAGGAAGGAAGGAAGGAACGCGGGGCGCTGTCACTTCAAAACGAGGACCCAACACCACAGCATGGTTGGGAAATAATCCAAAAATAGTCGGGGACTATGTTTTAAGTATGGTTTGACCTTCTTGGGGCATTTTGGTTGTATTTTTAGTATTCGTCGAACATCTCCCTGTAGGGGGACAAGCCCGACATAACGCTAGACCTTCATGCTCTGCATGTCGGGCGACCCGCTCTGGGCGTCCGACTGGCGGCGTTCACGCACACACGCGCGCAGCCAGGCGCCTGCCACGAGGCGCTGGGCGACGCCGAATGGACTTGCTGCAACCTTGTAAGGCGCATGTGCGCGGCGCTCGGGCGAGAACCACACTTTGAAAACGACCCGCCCCACGTCCGCGAAGCTCTTGCAAGCTTTGAGGACGAATGTGGGCGGCGTTGGGGCGAGATCCACATTTTGGAAATCGCCGTCCGTCCGTAAAGCTGTTGCACATTCCAAGCTTCGGGGCCACCAGCGGCGAAGACATGTCAAGCGAGCCGCCCGGCCAGCCCTGCAGGCACGTCTGGGGGCGCGACCAGGGGAGCTACCTGTACTGCAAAGAGATGGAGGAGGAGCGGAAGGACGAGAAGGAGGAGGAGGAGGAGGAGGAGGAGAAGAAGAAGGCGGAAGAGGAGAATAAGGAATCGCCCCCTGGGCGCTCCCTGAGACTGCACTGCTGCCAGGGCCGTTCCTGAAGCGGCGAGCGCCGAGCAGAACTGCGCCGCCGCTGCCGCATGTGAGGAGGAGGAGGAGGAGGAGGAGGAGGAGGAGGAGGAGGACGAGGAGGACGAGGAGGAGGAGGAGGAGGGCCCGACGTTCGAGGCCCGGGTCCTCCATCCACGAAGGGGGGCCGCAGATGTAGAAGTTGTTCCCGACGCCCGCCTCCCGGGGGGCCGAGCGGAGGAGCGCGGAGGCCAGAGGAAGGGCCTCCACAGGTAAACGCTGTGAGCACCACTCCCCCTCCCCCCCTGAAATTGTCTGGGAGATCTCCCGCCCCCTCCGCGCTTATTTATCTATTTATTTCTTTATTTATTTATTTGTATATACAAGACTGCAGTGGCGCTTCGCGCCATGCACCTTGGTCTTTGAAGTTTGGTACGCAGGCGGAGTAGCAGGAAAGACAAGCCGGCAATTTAGCGATAACTCCTGGTTGCCTGTTCTGACATCGCCGCTGTAATAATGTTATTCGTTATCCTTCCTCCATGCTTCTTTTTTCATTAGTTTCGCCATACCATGCGCATTCTCCCCATCCTCCTCAGCTCTCGTTTGCGGAGGCTCCTCCTTGGAGAGCCTCTAGGGGCCTCACAAAAGTTGTTTCAGGCTTCCTTAAGGCCTTCTAGAGGCCTCCTGGGCGTATTCTGGGGGCCTCCAGGGGCTTCCTCGGGCCAGGCCACCCTGCCTCCAACCGCGGTCTCCCTGAACGACCGAATCACGATTTGGAATTCTTTGGAGGGTGTCTTTGGGCCATCTTGGGCCGCCATGGGGCTCTCTGAGGGCCATCTTGGACCCGTGCTGTCCCGTTTTGGGGCTCTCTTGGACTGCCTGGAAGCCCTTTCGGATGGTTGCGAGGCGATTTTGGAGCCTCCCAGGCGGCTTCGGACGCCCAGAAGACCGCCGTCTTGGAGCGTCGGGAAGCCGAAAAGAGGAGAACACCAAAATTCACCAAAAACCAAAAGAAAATTATTGATTTTTGCCTCGGGGGGCCTTCTTGGGAGTGCTCTTGGAAGCCTCTTTGGGGCCGTCCTGGAGGCCTCTTGGGCCATCTTGAGGTCACGTCGGTCAATCTTGGAGCGCTCTTGTGCTGTCTTGGGGGTCTCTTGGACGTCTCCGATGACCCCCCTGATCGCCCTAGGTGTGCTGGGAAGGCTTGGCAAAACGCCCTGCGAGGCCTGGTGGCCGCTTCGAGGCCCGTCCGGAGGGTCCCATCGCCCCAGATCCCGGGAGTCTGTTTTTTTTGTGGGGGGGGGGGGGCGGGTTTTCCCCCGCCCGGGCTTATAAAAATATAGGAAGAGGAATATATATATATATATATATATATATATATATTATATATATATTATATGTATACTAGAACCATCGCCGCTTCGCGCGCGCTCAGGTTCTAGCCCAGGCCGGGTGCGCGCTAGAAGATCTTGGACAGCCCTATCAAGCACAGGCGCGTGACATAGTCGTGCCTCCTGAGGGCCTCTTGGGAACCTCTTGGGTCTTCGTGGAGGCGTCTGCAGGGCTTCTGGGGGTTTCTCCGTGCTTCCTCAATTGTTGGAGCCCGGCGGCCCCGGCGGCGTCCCAGGAACGGTCGCAGGTTTTTGGACCGGAGGCCGCATGTAGGCGTACATGCAGGTTTCTGGGGAAGCCTCTCAGAAGCCCGTTGGGGCCCTCTTGGGGGTCTCCTGGGGGCTTCCTGGGAACCTCGGGGGGCCTCTTGGAAGCCTCTTGGGGGGCCTCTGGAGGCCCTTTGGGGCCTGCCGCGGGCGTCTTGGGGGCCTCTTGGGGCCTCTTGGGGGTCTCTTAGGGGCCTCTTGGGGGCCTCCTGGGGCGGGGGGGCTGGAAGGTTCAATTGGGTTTCCCGTCTTGGGCCCCTCTTGGGGCCCTTCGGGGACGCGTTTGGGCCGTCCTGGGCGCCTCTTGGACTGTCATGGGCCCCTCTGGGGCCGTCTTGGGGCTCTCTTGTGGGCTTCGTGGGCCGTCTTGGGGCGGTCTAGGGGGAGTCTGAGGTCGTAAAGGACGGTGCGAAGGACAACGAATCGAATATGGTCAATCTGTACGTTTTACGAAGGGACGGGGGCTATGTTTGCTTCCCGGGGCCGTCTGGGGGGATCTCTTGGAGGGGTCTTCGAGCGTCTTGGAGGCGTCTGGGGCGGGAGGAGGAGGAGGAGGAGGAGGAGGAGGAGGAGGAGGACTTGAGCCGTAGGAGACCGCTGGAGGTTGTCCTCAGGGTGGCTCTGGGCGGCCCTGGGCCGCCTGGACGTCCGACCTGGGGCCCGCCGGGGAGCGGGCTGGGCCCGACGTCCCCCCAGTTGTGGTCGAGGCTGCGGCCCCGGGGCCCCAGGGCCCCGTGCGGCGTTATATGTATAGTTATGGATTGCATTAGTTGTGCATTCTATATCTGGGTATAGATGTATGTATGTATTTATTTATATATATAACTATATCCATACATATATATATATATATATATATATATATATATAGTTATCCAGGTTTGTCATCCTGTTATATAGAGTGTATATATATAATTATAAAATGTGTTTTAGACAAATGAATAACAGGATGACAAACCAGGATTGATTCTTCTTATGGCTTGTTCTGAGATCCGACTGTTTCGGTGCTTCAGAACGGTGCCCCCGCTGCAGCGTGGGCCTCATTTTCGGATCGGCGCTTTGCTCCCGTCGTTTAGAATGGCGCTCTCTCTCTCGAGCGCGGGCCACATTTGTGGATCCGAGTCTTGCTTCATTGTGGTCCCCCCCTCCATTTCCACTCCGCCTTCCCCTGGTCCTCCTGTTCCTGCAGCTCCTTCCACTCCAATTCCTGCTGCTGCTGTTCGTCTCGCCCCAGCGCGCGGGCCACTTTTCTGAATTCGAGTCTTTCTTCATCGTGGTCGCCCCCCTCATTTCCCCTCCTCTGCCTTCCCCTGGTCCTCCATTTCCTCCCGGTCCTGACGCTTTTGTTCCATTTGCTGCTGTTCGTCCTCCTACTTTTCCTCCCGCTCATCCTGCTGCTCACCCGCCACTTCCTCCCCCTGCTGTGCACGCAGCCCCCCCCTTCCTCCAATTTGCGCACAACACGAAGTGGTCTTTCCGTGGGAGTCGCAGATCGGCTATGACACGTGTCCACGGTTATGACTACCTACCAGACCACCCCAACCCAACCCGAAGACGCGATTTTGACCCGAATTTCGGGTTGGAGGGGGTGCGGATTCCATGTGGTTTTCCAATGTTCCCGACCCCCCCCCACTGGAAATCGAGGATAGATTTGGGCCTTCGGGTTGGGTTGGGGTGGTTTGGTGGGTGGTGAGGTTAGAGAAACATCAGCGCCACGGGGAAGGGATTGGAAGGAGGGGGGAGCCGGATGCCAGAGGAGCCGCGAGCGCGCCTGGCTTTCCCGCCCCCGTTGCCCTCGTCCTCCTCTTCCTCCCTCGGCTCCTCCAGCTCCTGCTCCTTCTCCCTCTGCTTCACCCTCCTGTCCGTCGCCCCCCTTCTCCTTCCCCTCACACCTCGTCCCATCCCCCTCTCCGTCTCTTCCTCCTCCTCCTCCTTTTCGTTCTGCGCTCCAGCGAGGTCCATCCCGTGAGCACACGATGATCACGCTTTCGGTAGACGAGGCCCATTGGAAGCGAAAGCATGGATTGTCCATAGGTTTCTGAAGGATTTTGACAAGCGGAACCCGACATCAAAACTGCCCCCTGGCGAGGGCCTCGGGCACGACCTCTCCTGCCTGTCGGGACAACGGGGTCTCTGCCCTGCTTCCGGAGACCGATGGCCTTCACTTTCCAATCTGATTCGGCCCTGCCCATGCAGTCATTGGCAAGGTCTTTTCCCTTATCCTGGGAATTAACGTTGCATATGATGCACCAGATCTACGTTGCTCCCATCGTACTTAAGGACCACATCCCAGAAAGAATTTCGAGCGCCCAGAAAAGTTTCGAAACAGCGTCGAACGAGTATCGCCTCCCAGGGCCCGACACGTGAAAACCCGTCCATTTCGGTACTTTCCTGGTGCTCGACATTCTTTCTGGCGATCAAGGCTACAGTAGGTTGGAACATCATAACACCAGATGGCAAGGCCATCGGCCCACGGGTTGCGAGCGGGGTGGGGTTCCGCAAACACGACAATGACCCAGGGCACGGCAGATGCATCAGCCAGGAGCGCGCCAATCGCTCCTACGCACAGACCCTACCCCCCCACCCATCTGGAAGTTACGAAACTTCGTGACCTTCTATCGTCTGGAATGACCCCTAGCAGGAGGGGAGGGGGCCTCTGAATCAACAGTGGTCTTCTGCCTACGGTCTCTGTTGACCTCGACGTCGGGGCATCCAAGGCGGCGCGCATACTTCGACATATTGGTCATGCACATGGCAATGAAGGTTATCTGATACCGAGGGAACATGATCCTGCCACGAAGGCAGCAATTCATCGGGTGCGCCTTTGGCACCCTTTTTTGGCCCACCAGTCGGCGAGCCTGATCGCAAAACTGAAGTGGCGGTCGACTCTTGATTGACTGCTGATCGCTTCGACTGGCACGCAGAGGTCTTAAGAATGGTAACGCTGTCTCTTCCGATGTCCTCAATCCTCCTCCATGCCTGTCTCCAGACCTCAGCGTACGGTCTATCGGAGTGGGTGGTGACATCCTCCCTGGCCCCACACCCGTCGATGACAGCCTGGCAGTCCGTGACCACCGTGATGATTGGGCTCATGAAGCACAGGGCCATGAACAGAAACAACGTACAACTCTGAACAGGGAGCGTCCTGCACTGCTACCGGCTAGCGGCGACGGGGCGTACGTGATTGCCTCCCCGACCAACCCTCAAGTAATAGATACCAGAACCCACCCTGCTCTCAACAACCATCGGATGTTGTTATCATGTCCTGACCTATGCGCTCATGCGAGCTCACCAAACCAACTGTCACGATGAGGCGAGTGGGCCCACTCAAACTTAGCGCCGTGCAACATCTTAGGTGTACGATCTCTGCCGCTGGCAACACGGCCTCGTGTCCACCGCAAGTCGGGTTTGGTGCTCTGCGCTGCACGTACCATGCCACAGCGGTAAAGACCTCTGCGAAGGCCCCAAGTGCCGTCACACCTCCTTCCTTCCCCTCCTCCTCCTCCTCCTCCTCCTCCCCTTTCTCCTCTGCCTCCCCCCTTCTTTCCCCCTCGTCTGCCTGTCCCTCCTCCTCAGACCCCGTCCGCCTCCTCTTCTCTGCCTGTTCCTCATTCGCTTCCTTTCCCCCCCCCGCTCTGCTGCTGCTGCTGCTGCTGCTGCTGCTGCTGCTGCTCCCCTCCGACGGCCTTCTCAACCGTCTCCCGCACCAGCTCCTTCGGGGAGACGCGGCCGCCGCTCTTCGTGTACTTCTCCTCGGGGGGCTCCCCATCCCGCAGGCCGAGGAGCTGGAGGAGTTGGGGGGGGTGAGGAGGGGGTGAGGATGGGAGGGCTGGGGGAGAGGATGGGAGGGCTGCAGGAAAGGCTTAGAGGGGAGGGGAAGGGAGGGAGGAGGAGGAGGAGGAGGAGGAGCGGAGGAGGAGGAGGAGGAGGAGGAGGAGAAGGAGGAGGAGGAGGAGAATGAGGAGGAGGAGGAGGCGGAGGCGGCTGGGGGAGTAGGAATTAGGAAGTACGTTGGGAGGATGAGGGGGGGAGGAAGAGGAGGAGGAGAAGGAGGAGGAGGAGGAGGAGGAGGAGAAGGAAGAGAACGAGGATGTTCTGATACGGCACTCTCCCTGTAGAGGTCGAAGTTCCCTAGTGAGTAGGGCGCTGTGCGAGCAGCCACTGGTGAGCCTAACGGCCAGCAGCGAGCTTCGGAATGCTCCTGCTGAGGGCGTGGTGTTCCCAACTGGAAGGTACAGGTCGCGATGAACCCTGCGCGAGCATGGCCGCACGGGAGGGAATATCTGAGTAGAGGCACGCCTGCGCTTTGTCAGGCCTCTGGGCGGTGTAGATCTCACCCGGTACGACTATGCGCAGTCTGTTGGTGAGCTTCAGAAGCGAGGATGGGCAAGAGGCACCAGAAGAACGAAAGACGGATACATGGAAAGAGATTATGCCGTGGCGGTCCTGCTCGTGACAGGGGCAACCCCCGTGCTACTACTGAATGTATGGTGACCGAAGGAGAGGCACATCGGCCCATGGTTCTAGTTCCGGTGTGCACCACCTAATCCTCCTCGGCGCCCACGCAGCTGTTGTGCTCCTGGCCGGAAAGGCGCAGGTCTTGTGTGGAGGCGAGTGCCTCGTTTGGCCGCTCGGGGCGCAGTTCGCCCGCCATCTCCCAGTCCGCCGAGGCGCAGTTCGAAAGAGAGGTTGAGATGCGATGGGCGAGGCACGGGATATGCAGGAATGGGGCAATGGCAGAGGCACCGCTAGGGATGGCATCGGTCGCCACCGAGCCGGTAACAGGGCAGGATTGGCAAGCGGTGCTAGGTAGAGACGTAGGAAGGGATGTGCGGAAAGAAGATCGCGGAGAGAGGGCGTGATCTCTCCCTGCGTCCCGGTGGGCGAGAAGCTCCAAGCACAGGAGAAGCTCCAAGCACAGGAGGAGCGGGATGGGTAAGTGGTGCAGGGGTAGCAGTCGTAGTAGTAGTAGTAGTAGTACTAATAATAATAGTAGTAGTAGTAGTAGTAGTAGTAGTAGTAGTCGTCGTAGTAGTTGTGATAGTAGTAGTAGTAGTAGTAGTAGTAGTAGTAGTAGTAGTAGTAGTAGTAGTGGTAGTAGTAGTAGTAGTAATTTTAGTAGTAGTAGTAGTAGCAGTAGTAGTAAGAATAGTAGTGGTAGTAGTAGTAGCAGTAGTAGTCGTAGTAGTAGTAGTAGTAGTAGTAGTAGTAGTAGTAGTAGTAGTGTAATAGTAGTAGTAGTAGTAGTAGTAGTAGTAGTAGTAGCAGTAGTAGTAATAATAGTAGTGGTAGTAGTAGTAGTAGTAGTAGTAGTAGTAGTAGTAGTAGTAGTAGTAGTAGTAGTTAGTAGTAGTAGTAGTAGTAGTAGTAGTAGTAGTAGTAGTAGTAGTAGTAGTAGTAGTAGTGGTAGTAGTAGTAGTAGAAGTAGAAGAAGTAGTAGCAGTAGTAGTGGCAGGCGTAGAAGGAGTTGTGGTAGTAGTAGTAGTAGTAGCAGCAGCAGCAGCAGCAGCAGCAGTAGTAGTAGTAGTAGTAGTAGTAGTAGTAGTAGTCATGGTAGTACCAAGTAGTAGTAAGTAGTAGTGGCCGTAGTAGTAGTCGTCGTTGTAGTAGTGGTGGTAATAGGAATGGCCGTAGCCATAGTAGTAATAGTAATTGTAGTAAGAGTCGTAGTAGTAGTCGTAGTAGTAGTAGTCGTAGTAATAGAAAAGTAGGGATGGCAGCAACAGTAGCAGCCATACTTCGAATAGTAATTCGGATATCAAATAAAGAGTAATGGTCGCCGTAGCGGCAGTAGTGGGAGTCGTAGTAAAAGTAGAAGTAATAATACTACTAGTAGCGGTCGTAGTAGCAGATGTAGTACTAAAAGTAGCAGAGGTGGCCGTAGTAGTCGTAGGAGTCGGAGACGTCAAAATAATAATCGTAGTAGTCGTCGTAGTAGTAGTAGTAGTAGTAGTAGTAGTAGTAGTAGTAGTAGTGGTAGTACGCGTATGCGTGGTAGTAGCAGTAGTAGTAGCAACAGCAGGAATAGTTTCAGACGCAGCAGTAGCATTAGTATTAGTATGCGTGAGAGTAGTGGCACTCGTGATAGAAGTAGTTGCAATAGTGGTAGTCATAGTAGGAGTACCCGTAGTAGTAGTAGCAGTAGTAATCGTAAAAGTAGCAGCAGCAGCAGCAGCAGCAGCCACAGCAGCAGTAGTAGTAGTAGTAGTAGTAGTATCAGTATCAGTATCAGTTGTAGTAGTAGTTATAGCTGTAATCGTATTTGTAGTAGTAGTGGTAGTAGTAGTAGAACTAGCACTACTAGTCGTAGTAGCAGTACTCTATAGGTAGTCGTAGGAATAATCGGAGTAGGAGTAGTAGTCGTAGTCGTAGTAGCAGTCGTGAAACTAGTAGTAGTAGTAGTAATAGTAGTAGTAGTAGTACTAGTAGTACTAGTAGTAGTAGTCGCAATAGCAGTGCTAGTCGTGGTAGTAATAAATATTAGATTTGTAGCAACCGTAGCCGTGGTCGTGGTATGAGTCGAACTCGAAATCATAGTCGTCGCCGAGGTTGTAGCAATAGCCGCCGTTGTAGAAAGAGTATAGAAATAGTATTACTAGTAGTGGTAGTAGTAGTAGTAGTAGTAATCGTAGTAGTAGTAGTAGTAGTAGTAGTAGTGGTAGTGGTAGGTGTTGTAATAGTTGTAAAAGTGATGGTAGTACTAGTCGTAGTAGTAGTAGTAGTAGTTGTGCATGCCATATATGTAAAACTAGTATAGCATTAATACAGGTTGCAGTGGTTATGGTGGTAGTAGAAACAGTAGTCGTCGTCATCGTCGTCGTCGTCGCATAGCGGTAGTAGAAGTAGTAGCAGCAATCATTTTGATCGTAGTACTGGTAGTAGTCATAGGAGGAATGATCGTAGTAGTCGTGGAAGTAGTACTAGTAGTAGTAGTAGTAGTAGTAGTAGTAGTAATAGTCGTAGTAGTAGTAGTAGTAGTAGTAGTAGTAATAGTAGCTGTAGTAGTAGTAGTAGTAGTAGTAGTAGTGGTAGTAGTAGTAGTAGTAGTAGTAGTAGTAATAGTAATAGTAGTAGTGATAGTAGTCGTATTCTTAGCTGTGGCAGCAGTAATCGTAGGAGTAATCGCTGTAGTAATGGTGGTAGTAGTCGTAGCCGTGATACTTATAGAAGTGGTAGAAGTCGTAGCAGTAGTAATAGTAGCAGTAGTGGCCGGAGTCGTAGTAGTAGTCGTAACAGTACGAGTCGTAGCAGTAGTAGAAGTAGTAGTAGTAGTCGTAGTAGTAGTAGTAAAAACTAGTAGTAGTAGTAGTAGTAGTAGTAGCAGTGGTCATAGTAGTAGTAGTAGTAGTAGCAGTAGTCGTAGTAGCAGTAGTAGTTTTAGTAGTGGTCGTAGTGGTAGTGGTAGTGGTAGTTGTAGTGGTCGTGGTAGTAGTAGTAGTAGTAGTAGTAGTAGGAGTAGTGGTGGTAGTAGTAGTAGTAGTGGTAGTAGTAGTAGTGGTAGTAGTGGTAGTCAACGTCGTCGTCGTAGTAGTAGTAGTAGTAGTAGTCGTAGTAGTAACAGTAGTAATTGTAATGGTAATCGTAGTCGTAGTATTAGTAGCTGCGAAGGGCGCAGTAATAGTAGTGGTAGTAGTAGCACCAGCAGCAGTAGTAGTAGGAGCAGCAGCAGGCGTAGTATAAGTATCAACAGGAGAACTGATACTAGAGTTCCGATTCGTAGTAGTAGTGGGTGTTATAAAACTAGCAGTAGTAGTGGTAGCAGATATCGTAGTTGTAGTCGTAGTAGCAGTAGTAGTAGTAGTAGTAGTCGTATCATTATTAGTAGTATTCGTAGTACTATTACTATAGTAGTAGTAATAGTAATCGGAAGTAGTACTTGCGGTAGTAGGAGTAGAAATAGGAGTAGTACTGTATAGTAAAAGTCGTAGTAGTAGTAATACTAAACATGATCATGGTAGTCGTAGAAGTAATAGTATGAGTGGTCGTAGTAGTAGTCGTAGTGGTAGTCGTAGTAGCAGCAGTAGTAGTAATAGTAGTAGTAGTAGTAGTAGTAGTAGTAGTAGTAGTAGTAGTAGTAGTAGTAGTAGTCGTAGTCGTAGTATGTAGCTGTAGTAGTAGTAGTAGTAGTACTAGTAGTAGTAGTAGTAGTAGTAGTGGTAGTAGTAGTAGTAGTAGTAGTAGTAGTCGTAATAATAGTAGTAGTAGTAGTAGTAGTAGTAGTAGTAGTCGTAGTACTCGTAGTAGTAGTAGTACTCGTCGTAGCAGTAGTAGTAGTAGTAGTAGTAGTAGTAGTAGTAGTACTCTTAGTAATAGTAATAGTAGCAGTAGTAGTAGTGGTAGTAGTAGTAGTAGTAGTAGTGGTGGTAGTAGTAGTAGTAGTAGAAGTAGTAATAGTAGTAGTAGTAGTAGTACAGTAGTTAGTAGTGTAGTAGTAGTAGTAGTAGTTAGTAGTGATAGTAGTAGTAGTAGTAGTAGTTGTAGTAGTAGTAGTAGTAGTAGTAGTAGTAGTAGTAGTAGTAGTAGTCGTAGTAGTAGTAGTAGTAGTAGTAGTAGTAGTAGTAGTAGTAGTAGTAGTAGTAGTAGTAGTAGTAGTAGTAGTAGTAGTAGTAGTAGTAGTAGTAGTAGTAGTAGTAGTAGTAGTAGTAGTAGTAGTAGTAGTAGTAGTAGTAGTAGTAGTAGTAGTAGTCGTAGTAGTAATAGTAGCAGAAATCGTAGTAGTCTCTATCCTCCTCATTCTCCTCTTGCTCTTCGCCACTTTCGAGGGTTGCTTGGGGCTCCATGGGGCAGGATAAGCAACGGCCAAACGCCAGGGTGACTGGATGCCGCTCCAGGGTGCTTGGTGAGTTATCGTTTCACCCGAAAAAGGGAGTCTTAATGGCTTGCAGTAGCGTAGCCGTGTGGTCGTTTAGCCAAGATGAGGAGGCAGAGGAGGAGGAGGAGGAGGAGGAGGAGGAGGTGACCGAGTAGGAAAAAAGGACAACGAGGGGGACGAAGACGATGAACAGGAGGCGGGAAAGAAGAGATCAACAAAGAAACAAAAACTGCCGATCCTCCTCTTAAATTCTTCTCGTCCTCCTCCGGTCCTCCTCCCCCTGCTCCATCCTGAAACTCCTTGATTGAACCTCTCTACCTCGACCTCCTCCCCCTTCCCCCCCCTGCCCTGGAAGGAAGGATGGTGGAGAAAGTGTGATGACTTCGGTCACCTCTCTTGGCGCCACGTGACGCGCGGAGCGCGATGTATTGTTACATCTGCACTCTCGCGCGGCCACCCAACAAAAGGGCACCGCTCCGACCCAGGCCTCGAAACGCGACGCGCGATTCTCCCCGCGCCCTTGCGGATGATCTTGCGCCCCACGGGCCGCAGGTCCCTGGGAGTTTTTGGATTTCCCCCCGAGGCCCCCGGAGCCTGAAAATTTGGGCCAAAGACCTCGTTTCAGAGTGTTCCTCGCAGCCTCCTCTCCCCCCCCGCGGGTGATTTGCACAACAAAACAATCGCCGCCCCCCCTGGGCAAACGTTGGTCCCGCTGGGAAGCCAACCCCCCAAGGGTACGGATGGGTGCCGTCTCTCCCGGGTTGTGGGGCGCCCGTCCCCACCGAAGCGGGATTACGCCGGGGGAGCATGAGCCAACTTGCACTGGCGTGGTGGGTCAGGGGATGGTTATGTCATAACTACGCGATCTGAAACACAGGCAACCATAAAATCACTCCCCACACACACGCACCAAGTTCCCGAGCTGCGTCCAACCGTGGCGGCGGGGGCCCCCCCCGAAGGCCAATCACCATTGTCTTAAGCGGCCCTCATTGATTCTGACGATGCTCGAGCCAGTTGCGGCCACCTATTGGTCCCTGGATGTCCAGCAGCGGCTGCCCAGACGCGGCGAACAGGTCGCGGTAAGCGGCTGTCTCCGGGGCGCGGTCGACGTGCACGGCGAGCTTGACGTTGGCTCCGAGGGCCTTCGTTCCGGGGTCGCAAGGCCGCTGCCCTCAAAGACCGCAAGCCCCGGGCGTCACTGGCAGGTCGTGGCGGGCGTGCTATGGTTTGGCGCAATCGTCGTGCTACCATGAGGGACGCCAATGGGGGAACGACAAGGCCTTCCTGAGCATGGCTGGCCTCAGCCACGAACGAGTTCCCCGCCCTAGTCAGCTTATATATATATATATATATATATATATATATATATATATATATATATATATTATATATAAATCAAACAAAAAGCCAGGCCTAGGCGCGTGAATAAACAAATGGTTTCCCTGCAGGGGCAAGCCGTGTGGGGGCGCCCGCGAAATGGGAAACACACCACCACGGCAGCGCCGGTGATTAGCGCCGGCGCCCGGCCACCAACCGCAGTGTGAAATCCGCGACGCAAGCGGCGCCGCTTCAGCGGGGGGACAGCAACGCCTCCGCTACAGACTACCTACCAGACCACCCCAACCCAACCCGAAGACCCGAATTTCGGGTTGGGGGGGGTAAGGGTTCCACATGTGTTTTTTCGATGTTTCCCGACCCCCCCCCACTGGAAATCGAGGGTAAATTTGGGCCTTCGGGTTGGGTTGGGGTGGTTTGGTGGGTGGTGAGCCACAGCGGGGTGGTTGGGCAAAAACGGCCACAGACACGAACAAAAAGGAACAGGAGGCGGAAGAAAGAGACGCCTCACAGCCACCGGGCGGTGTCCGCATGGCTACATACGAAAAAAGAGAGAAAGAGGGGGACGAAAGAAGCAGGCGGCAACGGATTCTCGTTCTCTTTCTCCACCCCCTCTCCCTCCCCTCCTCAACTGCAACATGTCATACGACGACGCGGCGGCGACGACGACGACAACGACGATGACGACGACGACGGCGACGACGACGACGATCGCGACGGCGGCGACGGACCACGACGCACTGCCTGCTGCGAATGCTCCATGGGGCTTGGGGGCTGCGTTGGCGCTGTAGCCGTCGTCGACCGCGAAGACGACGAGGACGAGGATTAGGCAAAGAACAAGGACGGCGACGACGATGACGACAACGGACGACGACGACGACGACGACGACGACGGTGACAAAGACGACGACGAAAACGACGACGACGACGACGACGACCGCGGCGGCGGCGGCGACGATGACGACGACGGAACAACGCCAACGCCGACGCCGACAACTACGACGACGCACTGGGGATGATACCCCATGGAGGGGGGGGCCGAGGGTGCTGAGTAGGCCCAGTGTAGCCGACGACGACGACGACGACGGCGAAGACGACTATGGCGCGTCAGCCATCAGCCTGGGGAGGAAAACTTCGCCTCGGCTGTATACGATTTCTACTTCAACTTCTGTGCGAACGGCAATCGTTTTTTTAGACTGCTGTGCAGGGGGTACACGATCCTCTCGTCTGCGCCCGCGATGAGCCCCTGGCGAGAGTGATTGTAACATTACCAACAGGAGCGGTGGTTTGCCGAAGACCCTCATTCTCTCTCTCTCTCTCTCTGTTTCTCTCTCTCTCTCTCTCTCTCTCTCACCCCCCCCCCTTCCAGAGTGCCGTCAGCAGAAGGAAAAAGGAAGATGGAAGAAGGAAACGGCGGAAGGAGGAGGATGACAGAGCGGAACGGGGTAGCAGCCGATATTGCGTTTCCTCAAAGTCTCCACCGTTCGAATTGGAATACGATCGGAATTCAACTGGGATCATACTGGAGTCCTCTGGAACTGAAATCTCCTCCATTCTACTAGGGCTCAAACTTAGAATCCAGGTGGGATCGAGTCGGCCTCCTCTGAATCTGGGGTCTCATCCATTATCCTTGGAATCCGACTTGAATTGACTGCAAGGCGTCGCAATCCAATCGATTCCAACCCACTGCAATCGATTGCCTTGCAATTCAATCCAATCGGTTACACTCCGCGGAAGTGCAATCAAGCACACTGCAACCAAAATCGAGTTGCAACCCAATCGATTGCAATACATTCGATTGCATCGTATTCGATCGCAATCGATTGCAACCCAATCGATTCCACACCATTTTGTCATTGTTCCTCCTCTTCGCCTACCCTCCTCCTCGTCTCGTTTCGCACTCCTCGCGAGGAGGCACGTGATGATGATGAAGGGGGCGGCTTTGAGGAGGAGGGGGAGGAGAGCCATGAAGAGGATGAGGCGGAGGAAAGGAAGGACGGCGGGGGAGAAGAGTGAGGATGAAAGAGCAGAACGAAGGTGTAAGTCGACCTCTTGTGCTTCCTCGAAGACCCAGGAGCCAAACGTGCTTCCTGATATAACCCCATTAGACGTGATGTCCAATGCATTCCTGTTTCGACGCCTTGCAGTGGAATCACTGTGCAGTGTCGTCCAACGGATTCCTGTCGTGACACGTCCCCATTCAATCCCTTTGGGCCGCAATCCAAATGGTTCCTATTGTTAGGCGTTCCAGAATAATTCCTTCTGCGAGCGGAGAGCGAACGCAACCCGTTAGCCCTGTATAGCCGCCTCATGTCCCCTTCATCCTCGTCTTCAATCATCGTCACCCCCTCCTTCTCTTCCTTCCCCTCCTCCTCCTCCTCCTCCTCCTCCTCCTCCTCCTCCTCCACCTCTCCTCTTGCTCCCGTCTATCCACACAGCTCTCCATCTTCTATCAGTCCTGCTCGCCCCCACCATTTCTCGCATCTTTGAGGAGGAGGAGAAGGGATATGGAGGGAGGAGGGTGAGGGATGATGATGAGGGGGTGTAGGAGCTGCCACACGCGAATCGAACGGAAGATGAGAATGAGTCGGTTGAGGGGTCACGCCTCTCGTCTCCTCCTCGTCTTCCTCATCCCTACCTCCTCCTGCTCCTCCTCTTCCTCCTCCTCCTCCTCCTCCTCCTCCTCCTCCTCCGCCTCCTCCTCCTCCTCCTACTACTCCTCCCCCTCTTGCCCCCATGCGTCCGCCTCCTTCTCCTTCTCCTACTAGTCCTGCTCGCCCCACATTATTTCTCTCCTCTGGGAGGCGGCGGAGGGGGATATGGAGGGAGGAGGGAGAGGGAGGATGATGAGGAAGGAAATGCCACAAAGGGATATAGCACGGAGGATGAGGCTGAGGCGGTTGAGGGGTCGCGCCTCCCGTCTCCTCCTCCCCTCTTCCACCTTCTCCTCATCCTCCTCGTTCTCTTCCTTCCTCTCTCTCGTCCTCCTTCTCTCTCCCTCGTCTCCCCCTCGTCGTCCTCCTCCCCCGCCATCGTTCGTCTGGGCAAACCACCGCGGCTCGCCGCATGACGAGTTTCGCGCCCCGCGGGGTCTATTCATCAGCCTCGGGGCGGGGGGGGGGCATCTTTTGCTCATCGCAAGCCGACATTCGATCCAAGGCACGGCCCGGAGACCATAGCCTTAAGTCGGGCCTGTCCCCCTACAAGGGGATCTTCGACGAAAAATAAAAACAAATCCCGGCAAAGCAACCTAACAGCGATGTGTATAATCATATCTGGAAGCATTCCCCTTAAGATTCAGGTGATAATCCAGTTGTAGAATTCTGCTGTTCTCGCAGTCGCAGTCGCATTCGCAATGACAGTCGCAGTGGCAACGGCCTTAGGATCCAATGGAATCCTAAATATTCCTAGGAATTCCTGAGGCATCCTAAGGCATGCTTAGGAATCCTTAGGAATCCTTAGGAAACCTTAGGAATCCTTAAAAATCCTGTTTCCTAGGAATTCCTAAGGATTCCGGAGGAATCCTAAGGATTCCAAAGGATTCCTGAGGATGCTTAACTATGGCTACGGATTCCTCAGGATGCCTACGGATTCCTAAGGACTTCTACGGATTCCTAAGGATTCCTATAGATTCCTATGGATGCCTCAGCCTGCCTCAGTTTCAGTCTCAGCCTCAACCTGCCTCAGCTTGCCTCAGCCTCAGCCTCAGCCTGTCTCGGCCTCAGCCTCAGCCTGCCTCAGCCTCAGCCTCAGCCTGCATCGGCCTCAGCCTGCGTCAGCCTCAGCCTCAGCCTGCCTCAGCCTCAGCCTGCCTCAGCCTCAGCCTCAGCCTCAGCCTCAGCCTGCCTCGGCCTCAGCCTGCCTCAGCCTCCCCTCATCCCCCCCCCCCCCCCCCCCCCCCCCCCCCCCCCCCCCCCCCCCCCCCCCCCCCCCATTCAGCCTCACCTTGACTCAGCTTCGGCCTGCCTCGGCCTCAGCCTCAGCCTCAGCCTCAGCCTGCCTCAGCCTCAGCCTCAGCCTGTCTCAGCTTCAGCCTCAGCCTCAGCCTCAGCCTGCCTCGGAGTGCCTCGGCCTCAGCCTCAGCCTGCCTCGGCCTCAGCCTCAGCCTGCCTCAGCCTCAGCCTGCATGAGCCTCAGCCTCAGCCTGCCTCAGCCTCAGCCTGCTTCAGCCTCAGCGTCAGCCTCAGCCTCAGCCTCAGCCTGCCTCAGCTTCAGCCTCAGCCTCAGCCTGCCTCGGAGTGCCTCAGCCTCAGCCTCAGCCTGCCTCGGCGTGCCTCAGCCTCAGCCTCAGCCTGCCTCGGCCTCAGCCCGCCTCGGCCTCAGCCTCAGCCTGCCTCAGCCTCAGCCTGCATGAGCCTCAGCCTCAGCCTGCCTCAGCCTCAGCCTGCTTCAGCCTCAGCCTCAGCCTCAGCCTCAACCTCAGCCTCAGCCTGCCTCAGCTTCAGCCTCAGCCTGCCTCGGCTTGCCTCAGCCTCAGCGTCGGCCTGCCTCGGCGTGCCTCAGCTTCAGCCTCAGCCTGCCTCGGCCTCAGCGCGCCTCGGCCTCAGCCTTCCTCAGCTCGGGCATTCAAAATATGGCACAGGACTGGTGTTCTGGGAACACGAAGATCACGAAGTGGCCCACAGGTGGCTCCGGGCAATCAAAACATGGTACAGGAATGGTGTTCTGGGAAGACGAAGAACACGAAGTAGCCTACAGTTGGCTCTGGGCATTCAAAACGGGGCCTGGGAATTGTGTTCTGGGAACACGAAGAACACGAAGTGGCCTACAGTTGACTCTGGGCATTCAAAATGTGGCCTGGGAATGGTGTTCTGGGAGCACGAACAACACGAAGTGGCCTACAGTTGGCTCTGGGCATTCAAAATGTGGCCTGGTAATGGTGTTCTGTTGGCTCCGGGCAGTCAAAATGTGGCCTGGGATAATATTTTGGAGAGTCCCCGGTTTTCCCCGCCATCCCCCGGATCCTGCCCAGACCCCCTTGGGGAGTCAAGATGCTCTCTTTTGACCCCACTAGAAACCTATCAGTCTTCGCTGTTAGGTAAATACCCCTAAAAAAATCCAAACATACTCCAAAAATCGTCTGGGGTACATTTTTGGAATATGTTTGACCTTTTGGGGGATATGTTTTATCTTTCGTCGAAAATCCCCTTGTAGGGGACAGGCCCGACTTAACCATAGCCCCCTCCTGAGCCTGAAACGGCCTGTCTTGCAGCGTCTCGAATCCGAGCCGGTCTGCCGAGCCCCGGCGCCGGCACTGCACAGCTCGGGACGACAGCAAAGGGGCCCTGGGACACACAAAGAAGTACACACAAATCCCAGGATCCCCCATGCTTTCGTCTATTTTCTGGGCTGTCGCCTCCCCCCCTCGTCCAGATCTTCCCCGATCCTCCTGGGAACTGCCGAATGAGTTGTGGATGTGTGTCCCCAGACATGCGACGTCCTGATTTTTTCAGGACGGCGCCCCCGCAAGTCCCGACCCTTTCCCCGGGGCCGGTTTTTCATCCTGAGTCGTTTTTTGACGGTCCCGAGGCCCGGCGAAGGCCTCCAGAGCCCGAGAACGGCGAAAAACCTCCGTCCTGAATTACGACGAAAGCATGTCTGGGTTGTGGATGTGTGTCTTTTCCCCCTCCTGAGAAAGGCTGGCCCCTGGTCGGGGAGCTGCTGACCTGGGCCGCTCCCGACCAGGGTCGGCCGAGGGAGGAGGAGGGAGGAGGAGGGAGGAGGAGGGAGGAGAGGGAGGAGGAGGGAGGAGGAGGAGGAGGAGGAGGAGGAGGAGGAGGAGGAGGAGGAGGAGGAGGAGGGGGAGCAGGGGGAGGAGGGATGGAGGAGGAGGGAGGGAGAGGAGGAGTAGGAGTAGGAGTAGGAGGAGGAGGAGGAGGAGGAGGAGGAGGAGGAGGAGGAGGAGGAGGGAGGGAGGAGGAGGAGGAGGAGGAGGAGGAGGAGGAGGAGGAGGGAGGAGGGATGAGGAGGAGGAGGAGGCTTGGCAGGATCCTGCGCGCAAGCACTTCCCCCGGGCCCAGGGCCGAGCAGGAGGCACGCCGCCCGGCGCCCAAAGTCGGGGGGAACGACAGGGGGGGGATAGGCAAAGGGCACTCCAGATTTCGCAATAGAAGGGAGGGTGGTCTGGACCCTCCAAGACAAGCCATTTCAGACCTCCCCCGTGGGAGAACCCTCCCAAAACATCGTCCCCAGACCCCCCAGGCCCTCCAAGATAGCCTGGAAGAGACCCCCCCCCCAATGAGACTCCAGATTTCGTAATAAAGGGAGGGGGGTCTCATTTCGGGGCGGGGTCTCTTCCAGGCTGTCTTGGAGGGCCTGGGGGGGGGTCTGGGGACGACGTTTTGGAGGGTTCTCCCACGGGGGGGGGGTCTGAAATGGCTTGTCTTGGAGGGTCCAGACCCCCTCCCTTTTATTACGAAATCTGGAGTAGAGAATCAGCTCGCGTTGCTGATTTTCCCAGCGCCTCCCGGCGCCAGGAGGCGCCCATGTATCGAGAAATGGGCCCGGCGGCGGGGGCCGAAACCAGCTGCGTGCAGCAAATTTCGTTCCCCCCCCTTTCCCCATCCCCCCTTTCGTTCGGCCCGACAAGACCGGGCGGCGAGCGGCGGGGGCGACCGCGTGGCCTTGCTGAAGTTCACCATGGGGGTCACCCCGATGCCCGCGGACATGAGCACGGCGGGCTCCGCGGCGGACTCGAGTGTGAAGATGCCGAACGGGGCCGTGAGCTGGACCTCTGTGAGGGGCAACGGAAGGGGGAGGGGGCTGGCACAGGGTGGGGGGGGGAACATCGACCTGGCATCGGTGATCCCTCGCCGATAGATCGGCGGTAGGCCCCCGATGGCGAGTCCGCACGTTCCTGGGCGGGGTGGGGCGATCGGCCTTCCATCGGCGATGAGTGGACGCTCGGGGTCGATGCATCCCCCCCTACAGTCTTTGCGTTGACCTAAGGAACCCTCAATAAGGAACGGGGCCCCTTTCTCCCATTAGTTAACATGCGATTTCCCATGGGAAACCTCAGGAAAGCAAAAGGCAGACTGCAGAACAATCAAGGAACACCGAGCCCCTCCCCAACGGAAAGGGTTCCTTCTTCAGGGCCCCGACGGTCTGCCTTCCCCCCCCATGGCTGCCCCCGGTCTGCCCCGTGGCTGGTCGCTCTGCTGCCGCCGAGGGACAGGCCCAGACCCCCAACGTAACGATTTTCTCGTGGCGTCGATCCCAGGATTGCAAAGGATTGCAAAAAACCCTAGGATTGCAAAAAAAAAAAACCCTAGGATTGCAATCTTTTTTTTGCAATCCTAGATTTTTTTGCAATCCTGAGGTCGGGGATGGACAGATCCCCCCACGTGACGATCTTCTCCTGGCGTCGATCCCCAGAGGTCGGGGATGGACAGATCCCCCTTTAGTAAAACGTGGTCCAGTGAAAACGACCTGAGGCCCAAACCTGGCGGGCGCAAGCCTGGAACAAAAACGGCCGGAGCGCCCTCTCGAGAACCGAAAACAGACAATTCACTAATCGACGTGTCACTGTTGGGGGTTACGTCCACCCCCGAAGAGGTCTCGACCCATTCTTCGGGGCCGGTTTTTCATGCTGAGTCGTTTTTGACGGTCCCGAGGCCGGGCAAGGGCCTCGAGGGGTCGAGAGTAGCGAAAAACATCCCGTCGTGCTTTGTTCATTACCCGAGGGGGGGCTGGGGAGGGGGGGAACAGTGGGGTCCGCAAGCGGCGCGCGCGCGCGAGCGGGGGAGTCTGGGGCCCGTGTTGCGTAGCAGGAGTGGCGCGGAGGAGCGCAGACAGCAGGAAGGGCTCGGCGGTGGGGGCCTCCCTGGAAGTCCTGGAGACACCTTGGACCAGGGACGCCTCCAGCAACACGCCCGAAGGGTGGCAGGGGCGGCCGGGCCTTGTCTCCGACGGTGACCTTCTCGTGCAGGTACGTGGAGACCTTGCCCCCCTGGATCTTCTTCACCGTGCACTGCAGGTGGTCGGCGCCAGGCGGCGACGTCACCGTGTAGTGGCGCGGGGCGGTCAGGCCGTCGCCCTCGGGGTCCACCTTCAGCGAGAGGTACTGGCCCCCCGTGAACTCGAACGCCTGCCCGAAGATCGGTGAGCCGCGCGGCGCCTTGAACGAGAAGCTCTTGATGTCTTTCGCCAGCTCCTTGATCTCGACCACCTCGAACGTCTCCAGTCCAGACCATCCTCCCGAGCGCTGCTCTGCCATCTTGTAGAGGGACTCCTCTGTATCGATGCACGCTTTCGCGAGGAAGAGGACGGCCTCACTCCAGGCCGCAGCGATCTGGGGCGTGACAGCGTTCCCGAGAATCTTGCCCACTGCCGCCATCAGGTTGTCGTGCACAACGACGTACTGCGGGGGAACGACGCAGAGCGCGCAATGCCTATGACAGATCGCCGCCACCGGCCCTTTGGGCACCAACAGGGGGGACAGGTCCCGGATGTTGATTGCGTACGCGACGACAGAGGCGGCCAGCGCATCGGGCTGCAGAGTGGAGATGGGCACGTTGTGCGCGGGGTTGAAGTAGGCGAGCAGGCTCTTGTGGTCCTTGGAATTTCCCCCCCCCCCCCCCCCCCCCCCCCCCCCCCCCGCACGAGGGGGGGCAAACGGCAACCCGTGGAGAAAGAGGAGGCGCTTCGGGAAAAACAAAGAGTACCGATACCGCTGCTCCCCTGACCTCTCCCGAAAAGCGTCCGACCACTCTTTCGACGAGGACACATCCGTGGCGTCGAGGCCTGGCACCCTACCCCAAGGCGTCGTGATCGCTTCATACCGTGGACCTCTAAAGGTAAGTCGGGCCTGTCCTCCTACAGGGGGATTTTCGGCGAAAGATGGAACATACTACCAAAAATGCACCAAAAAGGTCAAACCATACTCAAAAAATAGTCCCCAGACAATTTGTTGGACTATTGTTGGATTATTTTAGGGGTATCTTGTATTTCTTGTCGAAAATCCCCCTGTAGGGGGACAGGCCCGACTTAACTCTAAAGGTCTGGACCCGTTCCTGGGGACCGCCTTTTCCTCCTGCATCGTTTTTTGACGGCCCCCGAGGACCGGCAAGGGTCCCCGAAGGCAAAGTATGGGGGAGAACCTGCCGTCGGAAATTGGTTGCACGACGCGAGGGGGTACGGGTTTGGGGGAGCCTGCGCCACACTGCTTATGGAACCCTTAGTTTTGTGGAAAGGGGCGCCACGACAGAACTCATAGCCTAACACCACTCGGCCCCAACTGCTGTGCGAATCAAAAGGTCGCCGGGCAAGCCGGAAACCCCACACAAGCCGACCTGCGAGAGGCAAACTCATGCAGTGAACCGTGGCCTGAAAGAGGAACCGAACGTGCTGCACGCGAAGACCACCCCAAACGGCCAACGATACTGGTTGCTCCTTGAGCATGCCGTCGTAGAACGTCTTGGTGATATCCTGCGCCCTGGGGGCCACCACGGGCGCGGTCGCCGCGATGGTGTCCACCGTCTCGGGCTTCATCGCCGAGGGCAGCCCCATGCCTCGGGCACTGTTTCCCCTCTCCTCCACCCTTTTCCTCCTCCTCCTCCTCCTCCTCCTCCTTCTCCTCCTCCTCCTCATCCTCCTCCTCCTCTCTCCTCCTCCTCCTCCTCCTCCTCCTCCTCCTCCTCCTCCTCCTCTTTCTCACTCCTCCTCCCTCCTCCCTCATCGCTCCTCCCTCCTCCCTCCTCCCCCTCCCTCCCCCTACTGCTCCCTCCTCCCTCGCAATAGCATGCAGGCCCAAGGCGCGTGCCAGCTCTTGGCACCGATCCAGGTCACCACTGACACGGTGATAAGGAGAGTAGCGGGCCGCCCACGTGGACGGGGGCGGGTCGGTGCACCACGACACTTCTCACCGTGACACGGAGCATCGGATTGATGGCATTCGACGTCGTAGCGTATAACACCGCATGGTCTGACTTCACAAGGCTCGGGGAGATACTGCAGGTCTACGCCAGCACAGTATCGGGATTATGAGAAGCGTCGGGAAAAAGGGCGGCTGTGCAGCACGACGCCACCAAGTGTGGCCACATCATCAATGCATGCAGTTCGGCTGGAGGTGAAGACGGGCGACAAACCGATCATGTGGGCTGGCAGCATTCTGAAATAAAGACCTTTGGGTCAGTCGTGCAGTTGATGGCGGCACTACTGAGGGACCAAGGCATCATGGGCAAGACGGGCATGGTAACACCACGGATGTCAACGATATCCCTCGCATTGTTTCTGATAGAAACACACACACGCACAATACATAACTAAACATGCATAAACCTATAACCATGTATATATGTGTATACATATATATATATATAGATATGCATGCCGCCGAAAAAGAACACCACAGTAAGCGCTGATGGACGTGATTACGCGCGGTACAGCCTGGATGACAAATCAGATTAACGCTCTCGGCCACCATCGCATGATCATCATAGGATGCGGCTTGAGAATGGATACGGAGTGCAGACGGATCTGACAGACAAGGGACTTGTCAAAGCAGGCGGGTACGTGGGAGGAGCAGATGCCGCTTTGGAATCAAGCGTGAGCAGAATGTTCAGATCGCTGCTGCAAGATCATCATCTCTGTCCGGGCAACAGCTACTGGAGCAAGGGGCCAACTCCTTGCCAGCAGGGCCGCACACAGAAGATTGGCCACTTCGTCACGCCCACGCCGCCAGAGACAGGGTACAGCATGGAAGCCAAACTGCAAACATATGTTTTTGCGCATGGCAATGGTCACACACCCATCTAGACTGGATGATCAAAAAAAAGAAGCGGGTGCAGACCATCGTGGGTCGAAACATAATGATGCACACACACACACACTCTGGAGGAGGCCCTCTCAGGGCTAAGTACCTGGCAAACATGGACGAGACATGCATGCAGATCGACGAGGAACGTTGGAAAGCATCATGGGACAACGGAGATGTTCAAAACGCGTGGAACTGTCTCGGCGATGGAGAGCGATGAGCAAAGACAAATACATTCCCCAACACGAACACGTCCACCTTCGACTACGAGAAGAAAACTAAATCATGGAACTGCTGACAGACATGGTTGATTGCCGACAGACGCTGGCACACACATGTGCCATGAGCTTCGAAGGTGACGACTGCAGCGACTCCGATAGGTTGGAGCGGCGTATCGATACCCTCACTCGACAGCTACAAGCGGCACGTGGACGACTCACGGAGGAAACGCACACCTACTTGATGGAGGGGATGTGCTGAGCATGGAAGTCAGACAAGCACGAACAAGTACACAAACTACGTGAGGAACTAGCAGGTGCGGGGCGCGGGCCAAACAAAAAAACATGTTCGGAGTGCGGCAAGGCATGGCGTGTCAAGAGTGGCGTGAAAGACTCGGGCTATTACCGGCGGAAGCCGGCATCAACGGCAAGCAGATCAGCCAGAACAACCAAATAGATGACAAGCAGTTTATGCCACACCCGCACAGTTCTGGCGACCTGATAAACCTCGTGAGGATCGACAGGACGGGTCAGATACTGTACATCACGAAAGCGCTCAAACTACGAGCTGGGCCAGAATGAGGAGTGCTAGCTGAGACTCTAAGCATGGCGATCAATCTCCGCATGTACCGCACGTCCGAGCGAGAAGGTGGAGCCACATGTCTTCAGCCGCAGCTGCAACGGTCCTTTTGCACTCATGAGACTGGTTGGAGAGGTGCCGCCCAGCAGTCTCAGGAGCCAGGCTTTCCCACAGTCGAGGATGAGTGGGAAAACTGGAATCAGGGGGAGGAGGACAAGGAAATGGAGGAGGGGGAGGAGGAGGAGGAGGAGGAGGAGGAGGGGGAGGAGGAGGAGGAGGAGGAGGAGGAGGAGGAGGAGGAGGAGGAGGAGGAGGGGATGAGAACTCTTCACTGCTTCGACGCGTTCGGCGGCGTGTCGCACTACGGCCAAACACACAAGCGACCGAGACGCCCACGGGAACCGTGTTCTGCACATGCGGGGCTCCAAACTGAGGGAAGGGGCGACACTGGCGATAGCAGCAGCATGGAGATGCAGCCAGATACGACCATCGCACACGATATCGAACGTCGCCAGCACAAACGCGTTCGCATGCACGGAACGATCACACCTTTATCAATGACAGCGTGCAGATAACATACAACTACTCAGTAGAGCAGTAGACGGCACCGTCGTGCACGCCAACGCCTTGAACGGAGAAACAGACATAACGCCACACACGGAACAAACATGGGTCATTCAATAAGAGCTGGAGGCTTTGTTGACGTCTACCATCCTAGAGTTGAGGCATGTAATTAGTCGAAGGTTGAAGCAGGCGGGAATCAGAAACACTTGGACGGAGGGAAGTTGCTCATGCACAAGTTTGACGGCAGATATTGGAATCAGCTTATTCGTAGATTGGACTACTAGATTGCAGTTGCACGCCTTCATACCGCACCACCACTACATAGGAGCTAGTTGAACTACGGCATCGGCACCATGCAGGACTCCCTGGGCCACACGGGCCACACGGGGCACAAACTTGTTAAGATAGACCATGGGGACGGAAGCGGACGGCACGGTCAAGCATCTAGTTAGCCACAGTCGGCACGGTCAATGGGGACATCAGCAGGGAAGCCAGAGTCCTGGGGCCTACAATAGCATTCGACGGAACGCTCAGACAGTGACTGCGCAACAGGGTACAAGCAGCAAGGGCGGGATGGAGATCTTTACGCAAGATATGGCACACATGGCACACGCACTTGACCCGAAGCAAAACCTGGCCTGTCGGCATTCGTCCTCCCTGCCGAGTTCACAGAACAACTCGAATCATGTATCTTTCGCATGCCCTGGGGCATGATGGAAGGAGCCGCATCCACAGAGTACACGGGCAGGGTGCGCACCATGACGAAGAAATCGGTGCTGGGGGACTGGAAGTTAGATCATGTTGCGCTGGAGCTGCGTGTCCATAGAAGAGGGTGAGTGATGGCAGGACATCGCTCGCTACCCGCAACGCCCCGTGCAGATGATCGTGGCGATGTTTGGCGCGACAGAAATCGACCGAATTGGCTTTCAGCACCGGCTTGATGGCGCAGGAAAAATATGTGACACATCTACCCCGTCTGCCAGACAGAGCGTAAAGGATCTCAAAGCGCTGGGCTGGACGGAGGGGGAATCCGATCACCTTTGGAGGGGAAGAAGACCTTCAGTGATGCGGGAGGGAAACGATCAAAGGCCCCAGCCCAAGCCATACTGGGAAAGGAGGAGAGGACGCACTTCGATTCCGACGCGCGCCGCAGCCCCAGACGGACCACGGCAAGCCCCAGAAGCACCCGACCAGGACCTGAGCGACACGCACACGTAAGTGCTGACATCGAGGAGGATGCGTACTGCAAGCTGGGAACCAAAAGCGGGGACTCACATGGAGCGTGTCGCCCGACTGTCAAGGGCCCCGCGCCGCACGACACGCGCGCCCACAGCATGCGCAACTACACAGTACTCAAGGGTCGCAGGGACGAACGCATGCCCATGGTGTCGCACAAACCTGGCCAGCAGAACAGCATGCCTCAAACATCTACTTACTACGTAGAAGCGCGCGCAAAGGAGATGCCCCTCCCGCAGCACATCGCTCTCATTTAGGCCCGAAGAGCTGGGCACACACGTTTGTAGCTGGTGCTCGCACGAGAACATGAGCCTGGAAGCTCATCTACGACACGTTGCCGAGCACGCGCCAGGACCAGAGAGCAGTGGCCCACAACTGGCTCATCGCTGGCGCCGGCCGTGAGCGGATAGAGGAGATGCAAGACGCGGCGGAGGCACGAGAACCAGCGGCGGAGAGGCAACATGGAAGGCAGAAGAAGGCTGCCACGAGAGGCGATAGGTCACATGGCTCGGCAGACGAAATCTTGGCGCTGCGAAAGCTCACGCTCACCAACAGCCAGCAGACCAGGCAAATAGCAGGGGCAGCGTGGGACGTCGTGCTCTTCGAGGGCACCATCAACGCGATCAAGGCAGGCGAGGATGCGGGCAAGGGCTACGCGGAGCAGGCTCAGACAGGAGCCAAAAACCTAGGGCCGCCACACCACCAAGTACTAGCCAGGTTCACCCAGGCGGCCTCAGAGATGGAACTCCCAGCGAGTTTCAAGCTGTCACTACAGCAGATGGTGACCTTTCTGGAGATCAGGACGGCGCAGGTGTTTGGAGAAATACGCCCAGACTTCAGGATCAGAGCGGGCTACGAGGAGAAGGGAACAGAGCCGAAGTGGAACATGCAGAAGATGATGAACCCGCTCGCCCAGAGCCCGCGGCTCTGCGCGGACAAGCGCAGAGTGCTAATGGAGAAGTTGGAGCTCGACGGGAAGCAGGCGGTCGAGACAGAAATGGCAGCACCGATGCAGGACGCCATCCCCCGGAGAGGATCACGATCCAGGAGCTGCGCGCCATGAAGATGAATAATGAGTATCGTTTAACCGATCCCCATCCCCAGCGGCGTGGCCCAGGCCCCACTGGCTTATTTACCCCCCTAGATGGGGATATAGGCAGTTCTCTTCGAAGTTTCGAGGGGTCTATCCCCAACTGGGGTGGTAATTTAGTGGGGGTCTCGAAGGGGATGGGGCTGGGGATGGGGATCGGATAAACGATACTGGAAGAAGGCCATCTGGAGCGGCCAAGAGGGGGGTGTCCAAGAGGGGGGGGTGCAAATCATGACCGGCGGCATGTGCGCGGCCCGGGGGGGGCAGGGACGCATTGAAATACGAAGAGGCACCATGAAATCCGAGGAGATGTCATGGCCCCCGCCATGAGATCCAACCCCCCCTAGTCTTCTGTCGGGCGTGTCCCCCTACAGGGGGATTTTCGACGAAAAATGGAAGACACCCCAAAAATAACAGAAAAAGATGAGAAAAGAGTCCAAACATAGTCCCCAGACTATTTTTGTTGACTATCTTGGGGCTATTTTGGGGGGCATCTTTCTTTCTTCGTCGCAAATCCCCCTGCAGGGGGACAGGCCCGACTTAACCCTAGCCGTCACCCCCCTCTTTGCCGCTCCCGAGTCGGGTCGGGCGAAAGGGGGGGATAGCAAAGGGGGGGTTTGAGAATCAGCTCACGTAGCTGATTTCCCCGGCGCCTCCCGGCGCCGGAGGCGGCCATGTATCGAGGAATAGCCCCCTCGGTGAGGCCGAACCCAGCTGCATGCAGCAAATTTCGTAACCCCCCCTTTCCCAATCCCCCCCTTTCGCCCGGCCCGAAACACTTCGTGGAGACCACAAAAGGTTCTTAGAACATGGTTTGGCAGGGCTCTAGGCGAGCCAACCATGTGTTCGATCCCAGGTATATCCCAGGTGTTCTAAGGACCACAAAAGGTTCTTAGAACATTGTTTGGCAGGGCTCCAGGCGAGCCAACCATGTGTCAGATCCCAGGCAGATCCCAGGTGTTCTAAGAACCGCAAAAAGGTTCTTAGAATCAGAACATTGCTTGGTAGGACGCTTCGCCACTGCTTGATCTCTGCCGCTCCAACCTAAAACAGGGCTAGGATCGGGATAAATCGCTCCAGAGCGTTCCGGAGCGCACTCAGAGCGTTCCGGAACGCTCTGGAGCGGCCGCGGCGCCCAATACGTCCTCCAAACCCGCCGATTCTCAGAGATTTTGAATTATCCCGATCCGATTTTGTCCCGATCTTCGCGTCGTTTTACAACCGCCCTCCGGGGCCGCCCGCCGCCGGCCGCGCCTCGAGAGGGGCGGGGCGCAGGGGCACGCCGCGCCCCGGGCAGGGGTGGAACGGCCCCAGGGGAGCGAGGCCGGCCCGCGGCGGAGCACGCGGAGCCAAGCCACAGCCAGCCAACGCCCCTCCTCCTCCTCCTCCTCCTCCTCCTCCTCCTCCTCCTCCTCCTCCTCCTCCTCCTCCTCCTCCTCCTCCTCCTCCTCCTCCTCCTCCTCCTCGTTGTCCTCCTCCTCCTCGTTGTCCTCCTCCTCCTCCTCCTCCTCCTCCTCCTCCTCCTCCTCCTCGTGCCGCGGCCTCCGTCTGCCAGTCTGCACCCACACCGCCGAACCCCCACGTGGGTGGGGTGCGAGCCACGGCAAAAGCGGGCAGCGTCGGGGCCAAAGAGCTTCTCGAAGAGCTAGGGAAACGCAAGTAGGCAGTCATAGCTTTAGCAGGACAGGTATCAGGGCAAGGCTCCAAGGGCCATATACCTTACTAGGCTTTGTGTTCAGTTTTTGTGTGGTGTTCGAGAGGGTGATGGGTCCAAGGCTCTCAGCCCCCTGATCCGCGTAAGTTTGTTAAGCAGGAACCGCTTCAGAGCCCACGTAGGCCCTAGAGGGACCAGTGGCCCAAGGGTCCATCGGGCGCCCCCAGGGCCCGCCGAATGATTCAGTGCTAGCAGTTGGTGGCACTCCAAGATGAGCTCCAGTTTACTTGACATTGCAGAGCGAACTCAGACTGCCGAAGCGCCGACCCCGATCCCGCTGCTCCTCCCTCCTCCCTCCTTGCTCCTTCTCCTCCTCCTCCTCCTCCTCCTCCTCCTCCTCCTCCTCCTACTCCTCTTCCTCCTCCTCCTCCTCCTCGTCATCCTCCTCCTCCTTCTTCTCCTCCTCCTCCCCCCCCTCCTCCTCCTCCCCCCCTCCTCCCCCCGCCTCCCCAGGCACCAACCAACAAACCAACCTCCCTCCTCTTCCCTCCTCCCGCCTCCCTCCTCCTCCTTCTTCTCCTCCTCCGCCTCCTCCTCCTCCTCCTCCACCTCGTCCCCCTACTGCACGAAAACGGCGGCCCGGCGTCGTTCTAGCTAGCCTCCCCGTGGCCCTCGCCAAGTTAGCAGTTGAAGCAGCAGGGCCCCATGTACGGCTGACGAGGGGGAAGGCCACGGTCGAGAAAGTTTTGCCTGGCGCGTCGCGGCGGCGGCCCCGGTGATATGCGGGGCCTTCAGGCGGATAGCGTGTCGCTCCGCTACGCGGGGCGGGGGGCTCGGACAGGAGGAGGAGGAGGAGGAGGAGGAGGAGGAGGAGGAGGAGGAGGAGGCTTGGCAAGTTCACGCTCGGGCTCTGGGACGGGGATCGCGTGCCGCGCCGAGGCGTGGTGGGCCAGAACCAGGCGGAAGGGCACGCCAGGCCAAACTTCCTGACTGCAGGGGTGGGACCTGCTCGGAGGGGAGATCGGCGGTGGACACGCCTCCCTTTAGTAGACCTCCCCTTAGTGAGAAGGGCCTGGGACCGAAACCGACGGACCTGGACCCGCAAAAATGACGGCCGCGACGCCCTCTCGCGAACCGAAAACGGCCAATTCGCTAATCGACGTGTCAGGGTAGGAGGTCTTTCAACCTCCGAGGAGAAGCATCAAGCTGGAACTGGTGACGCGTCGCCGACGGGCCCCTGATGGCGGATCCGCAAGTTGCTGGGCCCCCTTTTCTGAAACGGAACGTCAGGGACTGGCACAAGGGAGGGGGAGCAGCGAGCTGGAATCGGTGACATTCCGACGATCAGCCCCCGATAGCGAATGCATCGAGCTGGACTCGGCAAAGCATCGTCGCCGACAGGTCGGCACTGGGCTCCTGACAGCGCATCCGCACGCTCCTGGGCGGGGCGGGCTATCTCGGCCCTAATCGGGGACGAGTGGGCGACTCGGGGTCGATGCATCCCCCCCTGAGCCTTTCCCCCCCGGAGCAACATTGCCCCTGATCGTCCTCTCCCCCCTTCCTCTGCCATGCCTGCACTCCCACGCGCTGGGCCCAGCGTGCTGTGCTGCCTCTTCCAGAGTATCGCCACGGCCCTCTTTGGGTTAAGCAGAAGCACGGCCAGACCGCCGAGCCTGATCAGGGCCGCGCGGGCGGTCTGAAAAAATGGCCCGAAATACGCCAGGAGTCGGTCCATGCTGCAGCTGTCTTGCAGTGCTGCAGACAAGAACTACTTTGCCCGATTCCTGCGCGCTTGGATGCTTGAGCCACAAAGGCTAGAAGATGGTGAGGAAGCTGATAGCGACGACGACGTTCACGACCCCAAATACGGACTTTTTTTCCCATCCCGACCAATTTTCACTGCAAAGCATTGCTTGGCTTTATTTTGCGTTGCTTGGCATTGCTTGTAAGCGTTGCTTGACATTGCGCTGCGATGCTTGAGGCTGCTTGCCATTGCTTTGATTTGCGTCGCTTGGAATCGTTGCTTGGCACTGCTTGGCATTGCCGTGACTTCGCTTGGCACTGCTTGGCGTCTCTTGGCGCTACCTCCACGTTGGCTCGGCACTGCGTGGCAGCTGCCTTGCCTTGCACTGCATGGCCTCGCGCCGCCGGCCGCTTCTTGGCACCACTGGGCATCTCTCGGCCTTGCCGCGAACGTCGCCGAAGAACCCCGAAGCACTCCGGGCCACGCCGGGGGCAGACGAGCCTCGAGGACGCCCGGGGGCGACGCCGAAGGCGGCCTCCGACGAGGGGCCCGGCAGCCACCATGCTCTCTCTCTCTCTCTCTCTCTCTCTCTCTTATACGCAGGCAGCCGGCCCCCTATGCCGAGCGTCGGGGCTGTGCGCCAGTGGAGCGGCCAAAAGGGGCCCAGGGACACACACATGAGCAGGCACAAATCCCAGGATCCTCCTGCTATTTCCATAGTTCTGTCTGGGTGTTCGTCCTCCCCCCACTTCTCATAGTTTCCCATCTTTTCGGGGCAGTCGACGCTTCATGGTGTCTGTGCTTTCTTCCCCTCCTGAAAAAGGGAGGCGCGCCAGTGGGGAGGGCCAACAATACTCATTCTTCAGAGGCGAGGGTTCAGCGACCACCCTCGCCACGGCATCCCACTTCAGCCACCTTCCCAGGGCCGGTGTAGACTCTTTCGGCCCCTCACCCTGGCGTGATGAATCAAGCGGCCACCGTGCCGCTTTGGTTTGGAGCGGAGTTTGGTGGTCCCCAAACATGGTGTTGAGAACACCCGGTGGTGAGTTTTGGGCGGTTTGGGTAATGGTTTTCGAGCGCTGGCTGGCCCAGGAAACGCAAAACCTCGTGGCGACCGCATGTCCCAAAACCCGGTGGTGACCCAGAATTATTTTTTGGGGGAATCGGGGTCACCACTGGGTGTCTCAGTACCTGGTTTGCAGACCACCAGGGAGTGTCGATGCATGGAAAGAGTGAGTCAGGCGTCCGGGTGGCCCCTCCCCTCGAAGCGCAGAAAGCGAACAGGGACAGATACAGCCGACCCGTACCACGAGGATGCGCGGGCAGGATGCGAGGGCCTGGGACGCGGGAGCGGGGCGCGGCCAACGAAAGTGCTCGAGGAGGGGCCGAGGAGGGACGGATGCAGGGGTGCCCTTGGGAGGGTGGCCCGTCCTTCAAATGTGTGGGTTGGCTGTAGGCCACGGGCCCCTTCGAGCTCTCAGCGGCGAGCACCGACAGGCAGAGAACGAGGAAAAGGAGGATAAGGAGGAGGAGAGGGAGGGAGGAGGAGGAGGAGGAGGAGGAGGAGGAGGAGGAACTCCTGGCGGGGCCCTGTGAGCGGGCGCTCCCGGGCTGCGCCGCGTGCCCTGCCCGCAGGTCTCGGGCGCGCGGCCGGGCCTCCGCACCTCCGGCCACGCCACGGGCGGCCTCGGGACCAGACCCGAAGCCCTCTTGAAAGGGGGCGTCGGGGGCCAGCCCAGGAGGCCAAACTCAGGGAAAAACAATAGCCTGTCGCATGATGCAATCATCCTCGCCGACTTGGTCGTGGAGGTCGCCGAAGACGGCCCAGGAGGCCCCCAAGATCGCTCCGAGACGGCCCCCGAGGATTGCAAGCAGGCCCAACAAGCCTCCAAGACTGCCCCGAGGGGGGCCTAAAAGGAGGAGCCCGAACTGACATGTGGAGCCTTTCCTCGCAAGAGAGCCCCCGAGGCCGCCAGCAAACCCTCCAAAGGCCTCCGGGGGGCCCCTGGAGGAGACCTCCAAGAGGCTTCCACGCTACCGTCAAGATGCCTCCCGGTGACTCCACACGGCATCTAGGAAGCCTTTTGTCTTCGACCCAGGCAAGGTGGCGGGATGGGCAAGAAGACTAGATAACGATGTTGTGATCGCAAGATGGATGCTACCCGTTTGCCGCAATGGTGCATGGCGAAACCCTGCGGATGACTTGCGATTGGGGTCGCTGAAACATTATCCTGGCGAAAAACCCAACCATATGCAGTTGTGAGTACCGCAAGTGTGAGTATCTTTTCCGGTGGCGCTCCCTATGCTGCCACGAACTGTATGAGGGGTGTGCCGAAATGTGGCGGGGTACACAACGCAAAGGAATACGATAGGACTGATTATGAAAGGTTGAACGCGGGTGAGTCCGAGCGCGAGGGAGTCTGAGTGTGAATGCGTCTGCGTGCGAGTGAGTATATTTGCATGATGTGATCATGGCTACGCCTAACGCACATGTGTATGAATGTGAATGGCTCGAGCACGCCTGTCCGGACACTCGTGACACTGGGCGTGGCCGCCGCAGACAGCCCCCGCGGGGGCCCCGACGGCAGCGCCCGCGCGCCGCGACGCCCACGTCGGCGCGCCCCTTGCGAGGATCGCGCCCGTTTTCGCCCCTTCTTTTCCTCCCTCTTTGCCCGCGCGCTCCAAGAATCCAAAGCTGCGGGCGCAGCGCAGCGCGGAGTCCCCGCGACGCGCGCCGGTCGCCCCAGGCGGGGCCCCAGCGACGCGCGCGTTTCGTCCGCAGCGCGGAGCAGAGAGAGCTGGCTAGCCAACTGGCTGGCTGATAGCGGACAAGGCTCTGACCGCTGGGCAGGGCGACGACAGGCGAACGAGGCGCTGGGCAAAACGCAGCGCGGAGTTCCCGCGACGCGCGCCGGTCGCCCCGAGAGCGTCCCAGCGACGCGCGCGGGTCGTCCGCGGCGCGAAGGCGAACAATTAGTCGGGCAGTCGAAAGAAGGCGCGGCTCGGGGGGGGCGCCCCTCAGGTCAGGCCTCGCGGATAAACTCGGTGAAGCAAAGCTCCCTGGCGAGGGCCGTCGCCTCCCTCCTGCGCCGCTTCGCGCGCGCCGCAAACTGCTCCAGCTGCCCCTGCAAGCCCTCCGGCGGCCCTGCCAGGGAGAACTCCACGCGCGGCGCCCGCGTGAGCAGGAGGTCCTCGTGGCGCGTGGCGCGCGAGAGCAGCGCATAGAGCTCCTGCCACCAATCGTCGTCCTCCTTCTTGCCGTTCCCGACCTCGTGGCGGCCGCAGTCCAGGATCGCGCCTGGGCGACGTCGGCCGAGGGGGCAGTGCGCCGGGCAGCCGACGGCCCAGGGCGAGTCCACAGGACCGAGGTCTAGCCGCGGACTGCTCGCGCCCTGGAGGTCTGGCCGCCCCCAGAGCTCCGTTCCCCCGCCCCGTCGCCTTCTCGCATGGTGCGCCCCTGGCACGCCACCGTGGTGATGGCCCTGCCGTGCGAGAACGGGAAGCCCGTCCGCGTGACCTTGGAGGTGCGGAAGGTGAACGGCTCCGACGCGCGGGGCTCGATGAACACCAGCGGGCCCGCGAGGTCCCCCGTGAGGCTGTCGTCGTGGCGCTTCAGGTCGTCCACGAAGGGCGCGCTCGCGTACTTCTCCATGCGCAGCCAGAACCCCAGCGGCAAGCGCTTCAGGTAGATCCTCTTCTCCCCCCCTCTCTCTCGGCTCTCTCGACGTCGTCTCGATCTCAAGGGTCCACGACGATGTGCACGATCTGCCCCTCGGCATCCTTGACGAGGCTGTCCTTGAGGTCGAGCGCTTCCAGGAGCCGGATCCGCATGCCCACGTGCACCGGGAGCAGCCCGTGCATGCCACCGGTGTTCTTCGGGTTGGCACAATTCATATCTTGGCGGCGTCCTTGGCGCTCATCGTCGGTGCAGACCTGTCGGCGTCTTGCACGAAGAAGGGTTTTTTTTTCAGGACGTCCGCGTCCCGCTGAGCACGCATGTTCATCCACCGCGCCACGGTGTCCCAGTAGGACCCGATCATGTGGCCGTTCTGTACCCTCTCCTCCGGGAGCCGGCGATCATCGGGTTTCAGCTGCATGGCGTTCCACGTGGCCCGGATGGCCGGAGGGACCTGCTTCCCCGGTTCGCGCAGGAACGCCATGAGATCTCGGAGCTTGGTGTCCTTGAAGCGGTTGGACGCCTGGAGCTCGAAACACAGCGGCGTGTTGCAGAAGAGCTTCATCACTGCCTGGTACTCTGCCAGGGGTGACGCATGTGGACGGTGGCACTGGGGCCTTCGGTGGAGCTCCCTATGGGGCCACGAAGCGTGTGAGGGGTGTCCCCACTTGGGTGTAGGTGACGTTTGCGGGCGGTGGCACTGGGGCCTTCGGTGGAGCTCCCTATGGGGCCACGAAACGTATGAGGGATGTGCCGACTTGGGTGTAGGTGACGCATGCGGGCGGTGGCACTGGGGCCTTCGGTGGAGCTCCTTATGGGGCCACGAAGCGTGTGAGGGGTGTGCCGAATTGGGTGTCGGTGACGCATGCGGGCGGTGGCACTGGGGCCTTCGGTGGAGCTCCCTGTGGGGCCACGAAACGTGTGAGGGGTGTGCCGAATTGGGTGCAGGTGACGCATGCGGGCGGTGGCACTGGGGCCTTCGGTGGAGCTCCCTATGGGGCCACGAAGCGTCCGATGGGGTGTGCCGAATTGGGTGTAAGTGACGCATGCGGGCGGTGGCACTGGGGCCTTCGGTGGAGCTCCCTATGGGGCCACGAAGCGTCTGATGGTGTGTGCCGAATTGGGTGTAGGTGACGCATGCGGGCGGTGGCACTGGGGCCTTGGGTGGAGCTCCCTATGGGGCCACGAAACGTGTGAGGGGTGTGCCGATTGGGTGTAGGTGACGCATGCGGGCGGTGGCACTGGGGCCTTCGGTGGAGCTCCCTATGGGGCCACGAAACGTGTGAGGGGTGTGCCGATTTGGGTGTAGGTGACGCATGCGGGCGGTGGCACTGGGGCCTTCGGTGGAGCTCCCTATGGGGCCACGAAGCGTGTGAGGGATGTGCCGACTTGGGTGTGGGTGACGCATGCGGGCGGTGGCACTGGGGCCTTCGGTGG